GTTGGTATGTGGTGCTGAGGATCGAACCCGGGCCGCACGCATGCCAGGCGAGCGCGCTACCGCTTGAGCCACATCCCCAGCCCCCAAATGCATTACTTTTATTGCTAGCAGTTTTAAAGTTCAACTTGGATATTTTTGATAATCTGTGGAAGAGTAGAACTTCACTGATTTGGGAAAATAAGTATAGAATGAAGAATGGATGGTTTACGTTTGTTTTCAAGTATCTTGGCTTATGTAACCAAAATCTTATTTGTTGCATATTTTAAACTAGTGGCTAGTTTGTTTTACAATGCTTGGAAGTAGGAAGATACAAGAGTCCCATATTTGGCCTGCAGTGCCTGTACTTGTCAGTTGACCCTTTATGTGAAGTTGATGTAAAGGACAGATTAGGAGAGCTGTTCCTGGCAAGATCACCTACAATTGCCTGCTCATCAGCACTAGGTGGTGCCGTGGGCCTGGATAAGTCTGCTGGTGTGCAGATTCAGCCATCTTTTGTCTTATCTAAACCTCATGTTCAGACATTCATTTCATTAAAATCTGTTTTTATAGTTAAAAATGCTAATGCTATTTATATTATTTATGAAATCTTCCTTCCAAAGTTAGTGATTTGTTCATGATGTCTCTATTCTGATGTAGATTCTAATTATACATTCTTCTTAGAGTTACACAAACTAAGATGTTTCCATCAGTGGAACAAAATAAAAACATAAAATCTGCTTGTAAAAATGCTTTTAGAGAGAGTTTTATCCTCCAGATTCTGTTTTACATGGTATAACTTAGAACAATAACTGTTTAAGTCATATAACAGAGACTTTCTTTCTTTTCTTTTCTTTCTTTCTTTCTTTTTTTTTTTTAAACCCTATTAAAAGTGGTGGCCTTTTGCATGGGAAATCAAGGGAAGTCTATTCCAATTTTCTGGTGAGATTCATCTGACATTTTTTTCTCCTGCCCTCCATCTTCCAAGTTCCTTCAGTGTACTTTCTTCCTTACAGTTCTCCTGCCTTTGGATAGTGCTATTTAATTAGTTGTATATATCATCACCTGAGAAATTTCCTTTAAAGCACAAGGGGTCAGACAATTAGACAATTCTAATTCACTGAAGCCAGGCAGACTTGGATATCTGCAATTTAAAAAATAGTTGATTCTGTACAAACTGTTTTTTGTTTGTTTGTTTTTTTAAAGAAGTAATTCTGGTACACAGAATTGGGACCCACTGTATAGATTAGACTCCCTGTTCCTCCTACCCCCAACTCCCTCGTTAGGATTTTTCTTTTGACTTGGAAGAAGGAGAAGCAGATATAGGGTGTCAAAGGTATTTATTTTTTATTTTTTAGAGACAATTATATTTTCCCTTCTTTTCAGCTTCCCTGCAGTTTAGGAATTACTTCTGGGAAAAAAGGGAAGGCTACAGTAGTACCCAAATGACCCGCAACAGTATGTCTTATTCATAATATCACTCTTTCAGGTGTCAACTTGTTCCCTTTTTCTCTGCAGTGAGAACATAGTTCATTCCAATAATGTACTCCGATTATCTCAGCATCTTGGCAGAAGGGCCCTAGTCTAACTATTTAATCAAGTTTAAATTTGGTTGTGTCTGTGATTTGTACTTTGTGTTTGGTTTAGCACTGTATTTAAAAATTATCAAAGTAAGGTCATGAAAAAAGTTACTCAAACTCCACCACTATCTTTATTTAGGAGCATTTTCTTCCAGATTTTTTCATATATATATTTTTACATTTTATTTTGAATACTCTAATTGGGTAACTTGATTATTTTTTCACTTTCTTTTTTGTCATATGTTATTATATAAAATATGCAAATCATTTCAGTGTTGATTTTTTTTTTATTAGTTCATAACTCAGGTCCATCAAGATTAAGTTATCTTTGGGGTCACCTTCTGCTACTATCTGATCTAGGACAAAATTATTTAACACATTCCCATTTTTATGGCAATAGTCATGCCATCTCATAGTGATGCTATGAATATTAGAAAGTATATGTCAATTTCCTAGTGATGCTTAGCACATAGGAACTGTGTAATTAATGGTAGTTAAAATAATGTCATTAATAATAATTATTATTATTATTATAATATTTTAGTCTTTATTATCCCAGCTAAGCTAGCCCTAAATTTGTCTTAACTTTCATAAGATTGAACCTAAGAATATTCATAAGGCTATGTCATATTTTAAAATTTGAATAGTTACATTTTTATTTATAAAAGTATTCCTTTTGCTTACATTGAGATAAAAGAAGTTAAATGTCTTTTAAACAGACTGCAAGTGATGGGCTTATCTCTCTCCTTGGCAGGTGGCCTGGTACTGCATTTTGGGTTGTAAAGCACAAGGAAGCTATGGGAAAGTGAGGCTCAATAACAACCATCTCCCAAATTCAGGAGAAGTGGTATGTTGTATTAAATGTCAAGAAATCTTACCAAAGTCTCACTAATGACAATAGTTTTTTTCCCCATGTGATGTCATTATTTCAATGAATTTATTCTAATTTCAACGGATCATAACTAAAATCCAACAGTGAAAAAATGTTTTTTTTTTATTTATAAGTTTGACCTAATTACATTTTAAAAGTCACAGTATTTTGATTTTCCATGTATAACTTGAAATATGTTTTTGTTAATAGATTCCAGCTGATGGTAAAAGCATTTTTGAAGTGAAAGGTTTGGAAACTAATGAAAAATATATATTTGCGGTTGCTGCTTATTCTTCTAATGGGAAGCTTGTTGGGGATGCTATTGGGGAGACAACTAAACCAATTTTGGTTTATCCACCTCTTTCTGCTGTTACTGCTCGGATGTATCTGACACAGGTAGAAGAGATTTCTGCTAAGTTTTTTTTTTCCCCACTATGGTTTCTCTGTTAAGTACTTACTAAGTAATTTATGATGGAAGAAAAATCACAGCAGATATTCTAAAGCTCCTCTAATTCATATTTTCCATGATTGCAGGTTAGTCATATAAAATATGAATCATTCTTTTTCCTATTAGTGAGTTTACTTCTTTACAATAACATTTTCCCCCTGGCTTGCAAATGTAATACATAATAATTTTAGAAATGTTGGAAAATACTGAGATGAATGTATAGGAAAATATATGTGATCTGTTATTATCCAGAATAACAGCTCTGACTCTGGGGCAATTTTGTCAATGTCTGGAGATATTTTGGGTTGCCACAACCTAGTGGGATGCTACTGGCATCTAGAGGCTGAGGATGCTCAGCAGCCTACAATGCAGGAGACAGCCTTCCATAGCATACATTATCCAGCACAAAATGTCAGTAATGCCAGGGTTGAGATACCCTGATCCAGAGACATCTTTTCATTTTGAGGTGTCAATTTACCTGTCCATCTATCTATCATCTACATGTGCACTTATATATATATATATATATATATATATATATAAATATATATAAGTGCACATGTATATGCACAAGTATATGAATTTATGTATAATATGCAATTTAAATCATAGGATGCATGTTATTTTACAACCTGATATTTTCATTTCATATATAATTGACAACTTTTTTGTTCCTTGAGAATATTCTTCAAGAATATTTTTAATAACTTTAAGAATATTTTTAAATAACTCCATGGTATTGAATCTTATAGTTTATTTAGTAATTGTGGCTGAACATTTAGATATTTTCAGGTTTTTACTATTATTAAAAAGTTTTGATACATATCATTGAATATTAACCTTTACTTGCATCCATGATTACTTTCTTACGACAAATTCATAAAAGAGCATTTTCTAATTCAATAAAGGCAGACAGACCTGAATTCCAATAACAGCTCCTCACAATAACCATGTGATACTAAGCAAGTAGTTATCATCTGTGAAGTGGGAATAATCATAGTACCTCTCAGAGGCATTATAAGTATTAAATGAATCTCATATATAAATGAATATCATTTTAAAGTATCATAATGTATCAATAATAAATGCATATTATATGTATCTTATATGTTTAACTATAGAATTTATCATACAGTAAACACTGAATAAATTCCATCCTTGTTTTTAGTTATGGATATACTTATAAATTAATGTTTTTGCCGAAGTAACTGTTGTCTGACATTGTGGTTTGGATGTAAGTTGTCCCCCCAAAAGCTCATTTGTTAGGCAATGCAGGAATGTTCAGAGGTGAAATAATGAGATTATGAGAGCTGTAACCTCATTAGTAGATTAATACATTTGATGGATTAATAATTTGAGTGGGCTTCAGGGTGGTAACTACAGGCAGGTGGGGGAGGCTGGAGGAAGTAGGTCACTAGGGGCATGCCATTGGGTACTATATGTTGTCCCTGGATCCTCTCTTGCTTTCTCTCCCTCTTTCTGCTTTTTTTTTTTTGTCATGATCGGAGCAGCTTTCCTCTGTGACACTCTTCCACCAGGATGCTCTGCTTCACCTTAGGCCTAGAGCAATGGAGTCAGAAGACCATGCACTGAACCTCTGACACTGTGAGCCCAAAATAAACTTTTCCTCTTCTAAGTTGTTCTTGTCAGGTATTTTGGTCACTGCAATGCAAAGCTGACTTAAAACATGTCACCAGTGAAAAGCACACGAGAGTGACTCATTGACCTAGGTCTCAAGCCTCTAATTTTAAGCCTATTGTTGGCTGTAGAGCTGATGGCTATTCTAAAATTTTATCATATTCTATGGTGACATTTTTCCTCCTAATAGTTGATTACTGTGATAAGCTTAGATCTCACTGGCATTTTATATTATCATATTTTTCACAGAAAATTAAATTGAGGAAATTGCTAGGAATTGTCTACCATTGGTTTAGCATGTCATATTGGCTCATGGTTTTCTGGTATTTTGATTTCTTTGGAATTTAATATGTCCCCTAATTTGCAGTGATGGAGTTATTGTGAGGAACTGAATATTTCATCAAGGCCTAATTTTTCTCCAGGGAGTGGTTTGACTCTTGGGCTCCGTTTGGCAGAACTCTCATTGAAAGTTAATAAAAGTCCAAGCTATACTGCTGGGATAATGAGAAGTGTCATGAAGTAATGACCTGTGTTTCTTTATTGATACTATATTTGCAGTTCTATAGTTCATTCACGACAGTTTATGGGCATCCTCTCTCATAATGTTAAGTGGCTGAAGCAAAACTTTCTCACTTATTAAACCTCCTTAATTTATAACTTAAGTTTAAGCTTTTAAACTCTAGCTTCACATGCCTTTCTGTTAGAAGGGCAATCTAATTTTCATCAAAGTGGTTAGTTTTTAGTTTCAGGACAGTTCTCTTCTTTAAAACATATTATCATAAATATTTTGAAGTAAAATGCAGAGAAATTTTACTAGATGCCTATGATTAATTTAACTTTTGAAATTTTAGTTTGTACTTTTATTCGACATTATCCTATAAACATTAATAAAGTCAAGGTGAATCTATGACAGGTTTTCCATTAACACAGAAGCTAGTAATTTAGTCTGCCTGAAATTTTTTTTAGGAAATTTTTTGAATTAGGTTCTTTGTGTGAATATTTCTCTTCTCTTTTTGGCATCATTTCTTTTTATTTTTCTTCTTTAAGTAGAGAATGGCTAGATGTGAAAATATTATAATGTGAAAATATTATATTTTATATTGAAAACTAGAAATCTGTGGAAATTATTCTAGTCTTGACTTTAGAGATTATGATTTTAGGCAAATTATTTCATCCTGTTTTTCCTGTTTGTAAAATGGATAAACTATTGAACTATAAATCGAATAGTGAGGGGAAACAATGGCTTTTTGAGATAAGAAAATAGCATTTTAAAATTCATTATTCCATTTGTTGTTGATGGACACTTAGGTGGATTCCATGTCTTGGCCATTGTGAACATGGGAATGCAGATGTCTTTTTGGCATGCTGATTTTAGTTCCTTTGAGTATCTGTTCAGTATTAGTATTATTCTCCCGTCTGTGTTCAGGATTAGGACTGTTTATTTAATTTTAGTTTTCTGAGGACCTTCCATAGTGTTTTCCAAATGACTCTACTAATTTACAATACCACAAACAGTGTTATAAAGGTTTCCTTTTTTCCACGTCCTTGCCAACACTCGATATCTTTCATCTTTTTGATAATAGTCAGTCTAACAGGTGTGAGGTGAAATCTCATTGTGGTTTTAATTTGCATTTCTCTGATGATACACAGACAGTGAAAAACTGTTCAGGCTTAAAAACCAGGAAATTCTGTGGATGGACCTAGAGGACTGTAAGTGAAACAAACCATAAGCTAGTCATAAGAGGATAAAAAATATATGATCTCACTTATGTATGAAATATAAAAGCATTGAGCTCATAGCAGGAGAGAGTAGAATGGAAGTAGTTATCAGAGCCAAGCGTTTGGAGTAGTCAGAGAAAGGGGAGACAGGGTCAATGAGTATAGTATAGTTACAGTTAGAAGTAAGTCCTCCCCCACTAGTGATCTTAATTTTCATTATTTTTAATGCTTTTATTAGTGCATTATAGTTATACATAATTGTGGGGTTCATTTTGACTTATTCATAAATTCATGTAATATAATTTGCTGCATTTCAATCCCTAGCACTACCTATCTTCCCTCTTCCTGCTCCTTTTCCTAGTCCATTTCTTTTACTTTGTTAGTCTTCTTTCCATTAATTTATTCTTTATTTGGTGCTATACCTAAAAGTTGAATTCATTGTGATATAGTCATATCTGTGCAGAGCATCATTTGGTCATTTCATTCTACAGTTCCTCCCCTTTTCCATTCCCCCTCCCTCTACTATTCTCCCTTCTATGTTCATGGGATCCTCACTCCCCCTTTTTAAAAAATTTCTTATTTTTCTCAAATAGGAGTAAATTTTAATGCACTTGCACAATACAGTGACTATGGCTAATAATAACATACTGTGTACTTCAGAAGAGCTAAAAGAGAAAATTTTAATGTCCTCACCATGAAGAAATGATAAATATTTGAGGTGATAGACATTTGATCATTCTACCATGTATATGTTTGTTAAGCAAAACATCATATTCTATCCTATAAATATATATACTTGTTAACTAGAAAAAAAACTTAAAAATTTATTATTTCATTCATTACAGTAAGTCTGTGAAGTGATGTGATTGCTTTCACTTTATAGTTGAGGAAACTGAGATAAATTTAATCCTTTTTCTGCTGATCCCACTGTGTTCTAGAAAGGATATTTCAGGGAGGGTAAGGTGCTTTCCCAAAGTTGCTCAGGCAGCAGATGGTCAGCCTGACACTTGAACCAGCTCATGTTTTTCTACGACTCTGTTCAGGTTTCAGGAAGTCAAATATCGGACAACTAACATGTGCCAGTTCTTTCAGAGCCTTCATCTTTGCCGTCGATTTTTAAGTGACCCTCTTTCTGCTCCCTGTCTACTGTTTGGCTCCTTCCCCTCACCACTACTCTCTGTACCTCTTTCCCTATTGTTTTTCTTTTATTCTGTGCTATCTGGGTTGGTGCTAGTTAGCAGGTCTTCCTGATCAGTACTGGTGAGAGTTTGATGATGTGACATGAAGGCTTTGTCAGCAGTCATGGTAGTGACAGGAACAAGGGAAATGGAGTTCATACATTTTGCCCACTTTATAGATGAATTTATTAGAACTCTTTTATTAACAAAGGTCTGCCTTTGGACTATAACTTTAAACTTGAAAATAGTAGAATAATGGGTAAAAAGATAATCATCTCCAATTTAATAAATTTCAGTTCTTTTGTCTCTTATTCTCTAAGTATTATCATTCTCTCTGCTCATCTGTTTGTTGGTTTATTATTCAGTGTCTATTTTATGCCAGGTACTATGCTAGATGTCATCTCTCCTTTCTGTGAAATGTAGTCTTTACCCATCTCCTTGCCACATCAGTAACCCTTGTTTAGATAATTGTGACTTATGATTTCAGCTAAGATCCTGATTGTAGGTAAGGGACCAGTCTTACCTAGGGTTATGCATCGAGGTAGTGGGAAGGCTCTGTGGTCCAGCCAGCTCTAGGTCTTTTACTTTTGGTTCTCTCTGTATATCTGCATTCTTTTTACTCTTTTCTGGAAATTGGCTCTCTTTAATACTTTATCTTTGGAGGAAAAATGGCGGTTCCTGAATTTTTGTATTTCCTTCCATTTCAGCTTTAGAGATCAACTTGCTGGCTCCTGTAATCTTAATTCCACATTCCTGGGAAATAGTCTAATTGGTCCTTCCATGTAATGAAGTGTCTAACCTCATTTCTGATATTTACCCACTGGCTTCTTTTTAACCTTATCCCTCTCTTTTCCCTTAATACTCGATCTGGATAGTTTGATAAGGGAGCTTGTGATCTCTCACCTTCTCCTCCAGTGCCAGGGAAGTTTAAACTGCCAGCCAGCATGGTCTTCCCAAGTCCTATTCCTAGCCCCTCTAAAGGCCCAACCACTCTCTTTGCTCTGCCCAAGCCAGTCCATACCTGCTAATGCCTACTCACCTCTTCCCAAGAGTCCCTGTGTAAGTGGTAAACTTTCTCTCAAATTCACCTGGCTGTTAGAATATATTGGCCTTGGTATCAGAACCAAACTTTGCTTGCAGGTCCATTTGGCCTTGCAGGGACCTATGAGATGCTCAGCTTGAGTCAGGCACTCACTCTGAGCCAGTAAACCATGTTACAGTATAGTGAAGTTGCTTAATGTCCCCCTTTATGGGGAGATAGAAACTATCAGGAAAGGACTTTAAAATTTGACACAAGATTTGTTGAGTGCTTACTCTCCAAACTTGATTACAGGTTCGTGATTCCAAAACTTGACTGTTCAACAAAATGATCTGGAATGCTGTTTAAACAGGTTTCTGGGTTCCCCCATCAGAGTTCATGATTTACTAGGTTTGGGTTGGGGCCTGAGGATTTTGCATTTCTAACAAGATCTAGGTGATAGCTGATGGTCCAGGGATCATATTTGAGTACTGCTGTTCTCAGCAAGGTGAGAAAAATGTAATGGTAAGAGCTAGGTAGTAAACAACTAACACAGTCAGTAAGAAGATTATCTAGTATGTCAGAAGATGGTAAATACTTTGGGAAAAAATAAGTAGAGTATGGTAGGGGGATTTGGAAATGTGAAGTGGAAGAATGGAAGGTAGGTTGAAATATTAAATAGGATGATCAAGGATGTTGAGACTTGAGCAGAGACTTGGAAGCAGTGGTTCTACAAAAGAAATGGAGCAAAAGTCCCTAGATTTTCACAAGTGTACTGCTGTGTCTAATAAAGCAAGGAGGCCAAAATGGCTGGAGATTGGTCGGAAAGATCAGAGGTGTGTGGGCAACATTATGAGGACCTTGGCTTTTACTTTTACTGAAATAGGCAGTCGTTGGATGGTTTTGAGTAGTGATGTGGCATAATATGACTTCTTAAAGGTTCACCATAGCTGCTGAATTGGGAATAGACCATAAAGAGTGAAGGGGAAACACTATCTCTTGCTGCAATTCAATGAGAGATGTAGGTGGCTTGGCCAGTGTGACAGTAGTCGATGGGTGAGAAGTGGTCAGATCCTAAGTATGTTTTGGAAAAGGGGTTAACCAGAGTTCCTGGTGGAAAAAATATAAAGAGAAAAATAAAAGATGACTCTAAGATAATAGCTGACTAATGGGAGGGATAGAGTTGATATCAACAGAGTTGGAGAAAGTTGTGAATGGTGTAGATTTTGGGCAGTAGGGGATCAGAAGTTTAGTTTGGGGTATGCTGAGGATAAATTGTATGAATCTGGAGTTTAGGAGAGAGATCTGGGCAGGAGCCGGATTTGAGGATAGTTATGTGAGAATTAAAAAGACTAGATGACATCACTAAGGAATGAGTCAGAAGAGGAAAAGAGAAGAGAAGTGCAAAGACTGAATGAGCCCTGAGAGGTATCAACACAAGGAGGGTGGGGAAAAGAGGAGGAACTAGACAAAGCAACTGAAAAGGATTGTGGCCTTTGAAATGAAAGGAAAACTAGGAGTGTGGAGTTCTGGAAGCCAGCTGAAAGTTATGTGTCAAGAGTGTCAAGAGGAGGAGGTAGCTATAAACTTAATTATTTTATTACTCTTTAGTAGTGCTTGCTCCATTTAATTTCACAACCCCTCTCCAGATTTATTCTGCACCTCACTACCAGGTTAACCATCCATGAACATACTTGTATCATGAAACTCTGTTAAAACCCCACAAAGCATCCAGAATTTATAAACCTTAGTTTTTACCATGGCATCTTTTCTGGTTTGGCAATGTTCATCAATTGAACAGATATTGTTATTATTATTATTTTAAAATTTAGCCTCTATTTATTTATTTGTTTATGAGGTACTGAGGGAAGAGAGGTAATTATTAACTCAACAACCTTCCTACATACCATCTTTTATTCTTTTCCATGGTAAATCCTATGATTAGATGGTATGTTAGTGACTACTTAGTCCAACTCTTATCTGATAGATGCAACCTCAAGAAGTGACTCATTTGCCCCTCTAAGACTTGGTTTCTCTACTTTTGCCAACATTCAGGCTTTGTACAAATATTCAACTTCTCAGTTTCCCAGTTTCCTCATCTACAAAATAAATATGGTAATAGAGTCCAATTCATAGAGCTTTAAGTAGGAGTCAATGAAACAGTACATACACTTAGACCAGATTTGACTTTTGGGAATGTTCTGTCTTGGCTTCAGGGCTTTTTGGTAGAAATCATGTCCTGTTTTTAACTTGTCCATCATATTGCCCATTTTTTCTTTAAAGTCTGATCTATCCTTCCAGTTTCTCTTAAATACTCTGTGGTCATTTCCAATACAGATTCCTCACAGATTCTGTCTAAGCTGTGATAGTCTAAATCTTATCTCTGCCTGCTCCTTGGAGTCTTCTGCTTTTCTAAAGCCTCCACAACCCTTACGATATCCTTTGTAGTCTTTCTATGATTTTATGTGATTTAAGTCTTTTACCTGATTCCAGTTTCATAGACTATGAAACCGTTCCTGAGCTGTGAGGAATCTACTCATTCAGTGCTTAGCTCAGAAAGAAACTTCATAAAAGATATTGGTTGGTTGATTATATGAGTAACCATTTGACAGTTTAGGAAAGTTCTGGTCCTTAAGTGGAACATATTCTAGTAATGAGTCATTTAGATGCTTACTTCGATGAATTTATTTATACTTTGTCTCTTACCTGTTTCCATAAAGGATTGAAGCAGCACATAAATCATTTGGTAAGATTTTGTACTTTTACACATATATTTAAGTAGAATACTTTGTAGAAATATCCTTAAAGAAATATATTATACTAAAAGAAATAGGTAAGTTGATGATTGTCTTTTTTCTTCTGAGCCTCTAGGCTTCACCAATAAAATAATTTATTTTGTCTAATGTTAAATTTGTTAAACTTAAAAGGTATCATGACTTCTTGGAAAGCATTTCTATTTTATTCTTTACTCTTTTCAGTGTTGAATTCTTTGTGCACAAAGAATTCAACACTGAATTTCTGACTCTGAAAGTGTCAGTCAGAAGCAGAAAAGAATGAAGTATATTTCATATATTGGGTTCGGGAAATCTGATTGTTTCTCTTGGAACAGATTGTTCATTATAACAGTATCTATAATAAATGGAGTGCACTGCTGAGATAGATGAAAATGAAATTAATTTGGCTCAGAAGTGATCTTTGTTTTGCTTATGAGGATTCGAAACATCCTTACAGAGTTTCAAATTTCCATGCAATTTGGAAATAAAAGAGATTTCAAAATGTGTCTGTCTCCCTTGCCAGTGCCCACTGTTCCCTCACTATGGCACTGCTGAACAGAACAGCAAATGTGAATAACTATAGATGAAATTAACATGCAATAAGAACTTAGGAGAATTCTTTTCCAAAATATACATTTCTTAAATAAAAATATTGCATGAGACAATGTGCTTTGTGTTGTAGGTTGCCTATCAGGTTGATAACTATGAGTTGGCTAAGAAAGTTTTCTCACCAGTTTGGGATTATTTTGTTGCCTCACCACTCCAGGATGAACAATCCTCTATTTGTTTGAGAAATATAATGACTATTACACAGAGAAGGTAATTAAAATATTATTTTAAGATATTAATTTGCTTACTGAAGCTTTGAATTAATTTATTTTCAACTTCTTGTTAAGATAGTCCGTGTAAAATATTTCTAATCAGAATTATAATAAGGGCATACATTCCAGGATCTTGAGTCCTTGCTAGAAACTTCCTCGATAGAATCTCTCTCTTTCTCTCTCTCTCTCTCTCTCTCTCTCTCTCTCTCACACACACACACACACACACACACACACACACATACACCATAAACAAAAAAATTACATGAAAGCATGTGGATGAAGGTTATGGAATAAAAATATCAAATGCTAATTGAAGTAGTATCAGTTATGCCAGAAAACACAAATACTCCCTGAAGACTTTCATAACAGGTCAAGGTCAGATTGGGCTGAAGGTGAGGGTCTGATGGGTAGACTATTGTAATCTGAAGGCTTTTCCTTTGCTTGAAGAGGCTCCCAGGATTAGAACATCAGCAAGTATAAATAGTCTGGTGGAAGCCATATAATATGGCAGGCTGTCTTTTGACTTGGCTTTATTGTCTTTTTTCCTTTAAGGAATAAAAGTTTAAGAGTAGTCTCAAAAATAAGCATTAGTATAATTTCAGGTTGTCTTACCAATAAATTAAAAACCCAGATTCTCCCTCATCTTTTTGTTAATACCTGAGATTTCTTTAATAAGAAGACAAAATCTTTTACTTCAATGAGATAAAAAATGCAAATGATGGTTGAAACAATCGATAATGCTTATTTACATTAAAAATATAATTAATTTCAATTACACAAATTTAGTCTTATTTAACATGAACAAGGGTGCTGGGTACCATGGGGAAGGCCTTGAAGGTATTTTAGAGGAGAAAGACACAGGGCTTAGGTTTTATGTTACTGGGTTCCTGGAGCAAAATTTTTAGTGTCAAGGCACTGGGAAGCCATTTACTAAGGGGATGTGAGAGGTAGAACAAATGTTTAGAGGAAAATAATGAATTTGGGGATGTTTTGAGTTTGGTTTTCCAGCAAGATTACTTTGTGAATACGAGATGCCAATGGATGTATTTGTTATTGTTGACACCTCAAGAGGTAGTAAAGGCTAGAGGTAGAGATTTGAAAATTGTCCATGGAGATCATCATTGAAATCTTCAAAATGAGAAATATCTCCCCAAGAATGACTGTTTAGCAGAAAAGATAGAAGGTAGGCTCCAACTGTGGGTACTGCTTACATTTAAGGAGCAGAAACAAGAGATGGAATCAAGGGAGAATACTGAAAGGGAGCTGCCCAGGGAATTAAAGTTCAGGAAAATGTGTTGCCAAGGGAAATGAGAGCATCACCAGAGGGACTGACCCGTCATATCAGATGCTGATTCGAGGTCAGACTCAAAAAAATGGTCCAGAGAGGTTGACTAGGATGAAAACTAACAAGAGGCATTTAGAGTTAGCCATTAGGAGGCCACTGGTGGAGTCAAGAGAATCATATCTGTAGCTTGATGGGCCAGAGACCATTTGTTAATTGGCTAAGGAATAAATGAAAATGAAAAATCACAACAAGATAAGGCCACTTATGTGGAGTTGGGTGGTGAAGACAAGAGGGAAGTAGGCAGAAGCTTGAGAGGAAACTTAAGGGAATAATTTTGGAATGTGGAGGGTAGGGAGCCCATAAAAAGGGAGAAAATGAAGATAAAAATAAATGCAAGTGGGGATGCCACTGTAGTGGCAGAGCCTGCAGGATAGAAGAGCACCTGGGATGTGCAGAAGGGGCTGTAGAATGTGAACAAAGACACATTGGAATAAATGGAAGAGTTGCTAAGAAGTGCTAATGTGCCATGAATTTGTAGTGAAGCCCAGCTCTTTAATGATTAAGGGCCTGTTTGATTCATCTTTATACCCCAAGGCCCAGAACAGTATCTTGTATATCATAGGCTTTCAGAGAATGAAAGAATGAGCAAAAAAAAAAAAAAAAGTGAATAAATAATTGACTTGTGGCAGGGATAGAAAAAGTGGGCAGTGACACTTCTGCGAGTGATAGCAGGCAAATTAATTATTGGGTGAAATCAAGGAGTAGCTGAACTTAAGGTGCTAGAAAGGTCACTCTTGAAAAGACTGCACATAGTCTGAGCTGGAGAAAGAAGGAAATGGAGCCAGGAAGAGATAGGTGGGACCAATTGCACTGATAAGTTTCTGAATTTCATCATGAGGATGATGAGATGGTTTAATTCGAGTTGCAAGGACAAGGGAACTGAAGTTCTCTAGGCAAAGTCAAGTTCTAGAGTTCAACATGGTGGGGATCATCTTCATGTATGAATTAACTAATGTTGGATCCCTTCCTATTTTGAGGGGATGGGAGTATAGAGAGTAGATGGACCCAAAGCTTAAGAGAGGAGCTTTGTTACTAACAAATCCTAAGGTCGATAGAAGAATACTGAAAACAAAGAAGGCAAACTGCAGATTTCACTGCTTTACCAGTGGTTGGCACTGTTGACTGTAATTTAGAAAAGAGAATTAGATATAAACTCAGACTTCTCTGTCTTTAACCATAACTGAGTTTGCTATCAATGACCCTGTTTTCTAACCTTACCTACAGTAATTGTGTTAGACTGATAGAAAAGAACTGTGTATATTAAAAAAAATCAGAAAACTTTGCTAATAGTCATTTTTATGTAGCTGTGGTGTAATATTTCCACAGCTTAATTCTCTTAGTTGTGAACTTGTTGTTAAGGGTAGTTTCTAATTTTAATTTAAGCAGCTGTAGAAGAATAGCTACTCCATGCATGTTTGTTGCTGATGGGATCATTGTGTTGATATAGAGAACAAATGAATCTAAAAAGGCAAGTTCTTGTGCTAAATAGATCATTTTATATTTCTACCTGTAACATCATTTATTTCTTCTGCAGATTATATTCAGATATTTTGGCAGAGACTTCTTCAATCCTTTTATACCTTTTTCTTAGAAATATCTTTGTCACAAGTGACATTAAAATTAAAGAAGAAAATCTTTTCTGTGATAATATCAAAGGCAGTGAGGTTTTCCCTGCTCAGCAAGTAAGTGAGTTAAAGTGACTAAAAGTGTGGCATTGTGTGTCCTGTCTTGTGAATGGAATGAGACACCCTTGTATGGGTGTGTCACTTTAATCTGATTTTTCCACATAAGTTTTTATCGACCCGAGTTTATGTTTTTTTTTCTCTTCTTTTCAGCTTATCATGTTTCTTTTCCTCTGTGTACAAAAGTAGTATGTATTTCAGAATTCAAAACTGTATAATGTGTAAAGTGAAACTCAGTGTAATTCTACCACTTCTAAAAATACTATGATTTCATTTCATGTGGTTTCTTGAATTTTTAAAAAATATGCATGGATAAACCTATTATTTACAAAAAATAGGATTTGTTCAACTTGCTGTTCTGCAACTTTCTTTTCAAATACTTTTTATAATAAAACTTGGACATAGTTTCATGCTGTCATATATCAATCAATGCTATATTCTCTTTAATTATAATATTGCATTCCTTTTGCAGAGGCAGGATTTCAACTTATCTCCTATGATAGATTTTTCGGGGGTGTTATGATCATTGCTCTACATACATCTGCAACCCTGAAATGCTCTTACTTTTACTAATGATCCTACACTAATTTTTAAAATTCTAGTCTGAAGTTGTCTCTGTTCTGTCCCTTTGTAAAATTTATTTTATTTTTTTTAGATGTTGATAGACCTTTATTTCATTCATTTATTTATATGCAGTGCTGAGGATCAAACCCAGTGCCTCACATGTGCTAGGCAAGTGCTCTACCACTGAGTCACAACCCCAGCCCTCCCTTTTCTTTAAACCAACCTTAACTATAGATGTTTTTGCCATCTGGGTTGTTTGTTTATTTTTTCAGGTTTTTTTTATACCTATCTATTTCCTCTTCTAATTAGTTACCTAGTAAATTGTTCCATGAGTGTGTGCTTGTTTCTGGTGATGTGAGAGTTAAAAAAAAACATGACCTTTTGCTGAAGACAAGTTCACTATCCTGTAGAGTCCAATTACTCACAACCATTAACCTGTACCTAACACATTGCTTTCTGTTTCTTCTTTCATCATATCCAGTCTGAAAATAAAGAGAATTTTAAAGTGCTTCAGTGAATTCCAGAATGCTAAACTACCATTCTAGCAAAAACTAGTTGTATGGAAATTTTTGGCTACCAATCATACAGCTTCCTTTGTACATAATGTTTTATGTATATGCAGGAAAATAATGAAATCTTTCCCCAGGAAAGGAAAGGAGAAGAAAGGATTCCTATTCTTTTAAAGTTACAATAATCTTAAAATGCTAATTGCATAGTTTACTATCATTTTAATTTAAGTAGTAAAAGCATAAGTAGCAGAAGTATAATGAAGATTAGTTTGCTTTACTAAAAATTTACCATTTTCTCACAAATCAAAAAAAGAAATTGAAATCTGTTTATCAAGTTGGGACAATGTTATAGAGATGTAATATTTTCATTATTATTTGTTATAATTTATGGTTTTGAAAGCTAGATTTTTTCTAATATTAAAATATAGCCAAGATTTTATCGCACCAATACAAAATGTTTGGTTCCTTTTTGTTATTAGTGGTACTTGTATTGTTTTACAAAAAAATTCTGAAGTTTGAGATAAAATTGTATTATTTACATGTAGTGCTCTTGGAGAATTAGAATTGTTTCTAAATTTAGATTTTCTTCATGTTACTGGTTATAAGCCACAAGGATCACATTTCTTACCCGTCCTCTTTAAGAAAATAGTTAAGCACTTCATGCTCAGTTTGAGTAACAAAGCCCTTTTCTTTACAGGTTGCTAGACTGACTGAATGTGAGAGAATATTAGTGGCATTGGAACTTAGCATCTTTTTGAATGATTCCAGTTATGTCCTTCAAGCTGTGACTCAGTGTTATGGCCTCCTTGCTCCTATAATATATCACAATATTGTTTTGGTACCTGTTGTACAGGTAAGGGTATCCTCCCAATCCTATATAAGGATAATTTTATATAGGCAACTCATTTTGGAAAAGAAAAGCTGTGTGTCTCCTATAAGTACAAATAGGTCAAGAAAAAGTATTATAAAATTTCAGCAGTTAACTGAAAAACATTCTAATAAATTATGTCTGGGCAAACATAAATAGGGACATAACATGTGTTTCTCTGAAAATATTCAGCTTTGCTATCTGTAGTTAAATATTGGCAATAAACTTTTCTTAGTTTTTAAAGTTATTTCTTCAATTTTCATGTTCTTATAATTTTAGAAACAATAGTATATATCCAAAGCATGTGATTAAAACCATCATCAAAGGGAAAATATGGTGAATAACCTAAGAAGCATATGTGGTAATGGAGGAGGACAAAGGATTGATGAGATCTAGCAGAGGGAATTATGTTAGTTGAATGTGCTTCTGAGCAAATAACCATCAACTTAGTGACTTAAAAAGACATCCGCATACTCTCTCATTGTTTCTGTGGGCAGGGAGATTGAATACAGTTTAGCTGGGCTGTATGTTTCTGATCTCATCAGTCTGAAATTAAGGTGTTGGCTGGGCCTGTGATTTTATCTAAAGCTGGAAGTTCTTTTTGCAAGTTTACTGGTTAAGTTAGCATTCCTATTCAATGGGAAGAGAATGGACGTTTTAATAAATGGCAATGAAACATCTAAATATTCATTTGAATGAAAATGGAGTTTGACTTCTATTTATGCTTTTAAGCATAAATTTAGAATTTTAAGAAAGTCTAGATGTATTAAAGACTTATATGTAAAATAAAGCAAAAATACTTAGGGGAAAAAAATCCCAAGAGGTGACCATGTGCAGTCTAGGGTTTGTGGGGTGGAGGGCCTTTCTAACTGAATTTCTAGATACAACAAGAAACATGTGTGTCAAAAGGGACCACAAAAAGATTGTAGAAAACCTATAGATTTGGGAAACAGATATCCAAAGCTGATTAAGGGTAACTGACAAATTCCTAATAAAAAATTGGGCATATGATATGAATAGGCATTTCTTAAGAGAGCAAATTCAAGTGGCTGGGAAACATGAAAAGAAGCTCAAACTGTGAATATTCTTAGTAGTGCATATTAAATTAACAATATAATAATATCTGTAATTCCTACTGGTGAAAATATATGATAAAGGCATTCTCATTCATTGATGAGGGAAATGTGAATTATTATAAGCTTTTGGATTTTGATAAAGCAACTTTAATTTTAATTAAATTAAATCAATTTTAAACAAAATTAAAAACAAATATACCTGACTGTAATTCTTCTACTAATAATTTATCTCATAGAATAAAATTTTAATAAAATAAAAAATACATTTATCTGACAAAGCAATATTATCATATATTCTTTATCCCCTAGGATAAAATTCCTAGTTGGCAAATTGCTCTGCCTTGCTCCACCCCTTGTGCCTGGATCCACATGATCTACCTACTGGGGACACAGTGCACACAGTGGTCACTGATTAGAGTATGCACTGTGTCCTGGAGGGTGGTGCCTCATCCTCTGTGGGCATTGCCTCAAAGCTGGTGCTCATGAAGTTGCTACTTAGAGTTGGTGCCTGGGTATTTGCTGGGGTATTCTTGGTCATGGAAAAAAAAAAGTCAGGTACAAGGACAAGTGACAAGTGCCAGATATTAAACATCAGCTATAAAAGTGTACAATGTGAGATTCTGGGAAAGGGCTGAATAAATGAAGTGATGCACATTAGCAGTAATGCCTAAGCATTGTCCCTGGAGACTTGGAGTGACTGTTCACAGGACAGAGTTGGAGGAGACATGCAGAGTTCAGAAAAGTGTGCATAAATCCCATTTTGTAAAATAATAACAACCTTTCTTCTGTGTATGATGATGTGTGAGTGTATATATTATTATTATTATTATTATTATTATTACATACTAATTATAGAAGCTGTGGGGGAAACCACAAGGGTGTTAGCATGATTTGGGGATATGGAGTGGTGTGGTGGCAGAGGGTGATCATGGAGAGTAGGAATTTAAAAAGTTAAAAATACTTGCCATTGGAATAGTAGCTGAAAGCAATTAATATGCTTCAAAAGAACTAGTACCCATGTATTAATTTGTCCTTTGGAATAATCTGAATGATGAATAGATGGCTGCTATCTCAGCTCTACTTTTCTGATGCTAATATTGTTCAGAAGTGTGTAGCACTATTGAAAGCTAAACTTAATCATCTAGCTCTTGATCAAATTCAAGATTGTATAATATAAAACAAGGAGAATAGGAAGTAAACATCAATATCAGTTGATTTTGGGGGGGCATGAATGGTTTTAATTCTCAAGAAAACTGCATTTCAAGCTCCTGGAATCACTGTATAATATTTAATACACCTCATAATCCTCTATATGGTTTTTTAAGGTCCTCCTAAGCCTGAATGTGATCATTAGTTTCTTACATACACGTGACACTCAGCCTTTACCTTCTATAATACTTGTCAAAATATGCTTTGTTTTATAGTTACTTGCATGCCTATTCTGTACTCTCCACTATCTTTCAAGTTATTTTAGGTAATTGGCTCATCTGAAAATTGAATATATACACATTCTTTTATGCATAATAAATAGTAAATAATTATTGGTAACAAAATTTTATGGCTTAAGACTCATGATTTGAATACGAAATTGTGTAATGGGTAAGGATGATATTTTAACACAAAAATAATTGTGCTTATGTTTTTTAGATCTTGATAAAGTGCTTAGTGGTTTTGCAAGGAGTTCTGAATGTTGTCCACTTGAAGAAAAATATTTCGAGTTTTGAAAGTATACAGCACATGATAGCTTGTTGTATCTACTATGTAATAAAGGTATTTATCTCATTCTTTGTCTAGTGTTACAGAATTTAGGACCAGTAATGATTTATAAAGTCAAACTACTTTTAATCACAATAATTAGAACACTTAAAAATAGCATCGCCAAAGCATTTTTAGATCAAAAGCAAATGTAATGTCTAAATATTGTAAAAGGGTTATCTGTTGTTGAACTTTTTTGACAAAATTGTGGCACTTCAAAAACAAAAACTTGATGTTACTGAAATAGCTTTCATATATTTTTAGGTGATAAATATAGTCACATAGAATATGTTTCAAAACCCTAAAGCATTAATTACATACTTATTTTACTGCAGTCAGCCTGCACATCATCTTCTCAGCTTGTGATCTCAGAGGCACCTGCAGGCAGACCTGTGGCATTTGAGCCCAGGAGTTGGGTTAGGGCATTGGGACTCAGAAGTTATCTGGAGATTTTGTAGCATGGTTTTGATTAAAGGATTAATCAGTAAATGAGGGGTATGATAATGTCATGAAGTAGACTGGAAGGAAAGGCAGAGTAGGTAGAGTCTAAGGATGATTATGGGATTGATGTGCAGCACCCTGACCTGAAAAGAGGCAAATTCAGTCTGTATCAAGGAAGATGTATGTATGTATGTATGTATGTATGTATGTATGTATGTATCTATCTATCTATCTATCTATCTGGAGATCTAAGCAGGAGAAAAAATGCAGGCAAAAGTGTGGTCAGAATATAAGTTCATATTTCATCTTTATTTTATTCCTTCATGTGACAAATATATGACATATGCCCCCAAAATTAGAGGAGAGCCTCATAATAGCTGAAAGAGAATAAATCATAGATGATACTAGATTTTTAGCTTGCATAATGAATGGTTGGTGGTGACACAGAACAGGGAGACAGAAAGATCACTAAGGACGGAACACCTAGGAAATGAGACTTAGACATGCGTTAAGCAAGAATTAGAAACTCAAATGCCTATTGAGACCATGTGGATATTAAAAAAAAATTGTGATTTTGTTGGATGTAAGGCTAGATTTGTTGGGTTCTAAGTCAGACTTACCTGTAGGCATTAAAATTCGTTAAAACAAGGGCTGGGGCTGTAGCTCAGTGGCAGAGCACTTGCCTAGCATGTGTGAGGAATGTATTGGGTTTGATCCTCAGTACCACATTAAAAAATAAATTAAATAAAGGCATGCTGTCCATCTACAACTGTATAAATTTTTTAAAAAAAATTGTTAAAACCAAATAAAAAACAACAAACCAAAGCTATCTCACAGAGCTTATAATTTAGTGGGGGAGGCAGAAAACACATACACATATAAAATATAATTCCATGAAGCTTTAAAATAGAAAAGCGGTTAAGGGAGAGAGGTTTATGGGGCTGGGTTACTTTAGATGTGACGACCCTACATAAGAGGAAGGGTAGAACTAAAACAGATGGCAGAGAAACAGCTTTGTAGGCAGAGGGCAGGAAGAATTATGTGAGTAAATATATGCGGAGACTCAAGGCCAATTTTAGCCTATAAATAATAGTAGTCTAAATGGGGTAGACCAGTGGTAGAGCATTGATTTCCAACCTGTTGATCTGAGAGCTTTTGAAAGAAGTTTGTACATCCATAGGTGTGCCTAGAACTCTTTGTCTCACATATACATTTTGCCTTTTTTTGCAAATATGTGCGAAAATAGTTGAAATAGTTAACTATTTTTATTGTAGCTTTCAGTTAATGAGAAGAGTTACTAGAGAAGAGTTACTGTAGCTTAAGTTTTAGGGAAAGCTGTTTATTTATTTTTATGTAAAGAAATGGAGGAATTCTGATAGATGGCAGCTTAAGCACAGATCCCTGACTTCTTTTGAATTTCTTTTTCAGGACATTAGAGCAGCCTGAGTGGGCCCCTTGGTGAAGCCTGGGGGCTGCCTTAGGCCAGGTTATCTAGGGAAGGGCATTTTATAGGACCTCATTTGCCTTGGAAACAAGAAAGAACCAAGAAACCAGAGGCAGGGAGGTAGATTTCTTTATCCTCATTGTTTGACTCAAAGACCATCATCATTGTGTGATCCCTTAAAGCCTTACTGACAGAATCCAATGGATATCCTCAAAGAAGAGCGTCCACATCTGCCTGCTCATCTTATGTGGTGTCCGTAGGACCTTTCTGATTTGTTAGAGATTTGGAAGAATACTATAGAGGTGGGCTGATTTGGTACAACACTTTAGGAAGTTTGCCTTTATGGAGGTCTGGCAACAGACAGGCTTCTACACTCTGATCAGCAAAGAAGTTATTATTTGCTGGCTGTTCATGGCCTGACTTCAAGAGCAGAAAATAATATTCCTTCCCTTGTCCACCAGTTTACCACTGGAGAGACCTCCATGACCTGGTCTCTGCAAATGCTAAGAGGATGTAGCCATTAGCAGGAGAGAAAAGTAATAATTCATTGAAGGGGACTTAGTACCTTGATGGAGGAAGAACAATCCAAACTTCCAAATGATTGTGTTATTTACTCTTAACCATGTTGGAAAAAGATTAGAGATGACTTGGTGTGTGGGGGGGGTGGGTGAGATAAAAAAATAAAACTTTTAAGGGAAAGCAGTCAGATGTTCCAAAACCAACCAACCAACCAACCAACCAACCAACCAACCAACTAAACACCCCATCCTGAAATAAAAATGTAATTTAATAAATCTGATACATGTTTGAAATATTAAACACCTGAAAATATGACAATGAAATTTCTCAAATCAAATCTGGAGCTCAAGAAATACCTCACAATGTAGAGCAGAATCACCCAGAGATGGTAAATAAATTTAGAGTACAGATCTAGAAGTTATAACATGAAAATAACAGGAGTCTGGGGGTAGAAAAAGAAACAAATGGAGGTAATAGGCTTCTTGAATCCCAGGCAGAGAGATGTTGGTGAAATTACTGACTTCAAAGAGAAAAGACAAATTTAAAGTTTGAGACCCAAAGAACAGATTATTTGCGATGGAAAGAAAATCATTTATCTTCAAACTTTTTATCAGCAACTCTAGAAGTTAAAACACCAAAACAACATTGGTAGAGTCCTGAGGGAAGAACACTAAGGTTCAAATATTAATAACCAGGAAAGATATCATTCATTTGTCAAGGCAAAAGTAAACATTTTCAGAAGTGCAAGCATTTGAAGTCTTCTGCCCTGGTACTTATCTGAGGAAAACACTTGGGGAAATACTCTATCAAATGACAATTGAATCAGAACAGAAATCCCAAGATAGGGAAAGACAAAAAAGAGAGGAATAATGAGAGCATTGAATCTTGCAATGTATGTATTATTAAAATTAAATAGACAATAATGACATGACTAGCACTTTGTAATATAAATGCTAAGTAGGGATTCTTCAAAGAGTAGAGTCATCCTTGAAGGGAAAACTTATTTGTAACCTAGACTAAAACTTGCATCCTGTTCGGAATGGGGGCATATGTGAGCAGGTGGATTTGTGGACTACAGTTGTATGAACTTATTTTTACATAAAAACACATATAACATAAAACTGTTATTTTCTTTGATAGAATATATATATGTGTGTGTGTGTGTGTGTGTGTGTGTGTACACACACTTGCGCACGTGCGCACACACACACATTTAAAGATTATTGGGAACATGTTATCCTGAGCAGAACTTTAAAGCCTAGTAGGAGTTCCAAATTGATAGGGAGAAAAAAAAAGAACAGGGAAGAATCAGAGAGAGGAAACAAGAACAGGAAAAAATGGGAGAGAGGAAAACTGATGATTAAGTAAAAGTAAGAAAAGGGAAAAGGAGATAGTATTTTTGGTGGAATCAATAGAAGTGTATTATCCGGTTCACTAAGTGTGAGTGGTCTTAGAAGACAGTGATTGCCAGACGGGCTAGAAAGTCAGGCTCTAATGTTTATCACTTGAAGAAACTTGCATAAAACAAAGTGACAGATGTTGATTGATAAATGGATAGACAAAGGCACTGAGCAAATGCAAACAAAAATAAAGGAGGAAAATGGCAATTTTCATATCAGACAAAGTAAGAATTAAGGTCCTCAAACATTTATCAGGACAAATAAAGGCATTGGATAGTGTCTTTCAAATCTGTCATGTACCCTTCCCTGCTCCTGGATGGCATCTTGTCATTTGTCAGTGTGAGGGCTGTCTCATTGTTAAGAACTAAAGATCAAGGCTAGCCCTAGGTTTGATTCCCAGGGCTGCAAGAAAAAAAAAAAGAAAGAAAGAAAAGAAAAAGAAAACAAGTCTGAATTAAAACAAAACTCATTTTTTTAATAACAGCAAATTAAAGAATTAGAACAATAAGATTATATGAAAAATGCCACAGAGGCATTTAATAATACTTAGCAACCTTTTCTAATAAAATTTCTAATAAGTTAGGAATAGAAGGAAGCTGTTGAACAATGATAAAGACATTTACCCAAATTTTATAGCAAATATCATATTAAATGGCAAATTTCTGAAGTCATTTTCTTAAAAATCAGGCATAGAAAAGAGATGCTGACTTTTAACAGTGAGATTTAGTATATTCAGAGGTTCTCTCTTATGCAATAGATGAAGATATGATATTAGGAAAGAAAGCCTAATTTATTTATAATTATGAAGGTCTCAAAAACCTAGGAGAAGCTAGCAAAAATGATTAGAATTATAAAGACAGTGTGTCAAATGATTATATGTGAAACATTTATAAACTGATAGTTTTTCCCCACTACTAGTAGTTAGAATGGAGAAACTTACAATACATGATATTTGAAACTTAACAAAGTGTCAAAGAACCTACATAAAAGAACTGTGAAGTCTTATCAAAGGATATAAAATAAGATCTGAACATATGGCAGGCCATACCAAGTTCCCGAAGAGGAAGATTTACTGTCATAGAAATGTAAATCCTTCCTAAAATAACATTTAAATTTAATGCAACTCTAATCAAAATCCCAATAGGGTTTCTCTGGAACTTATTAGAATAATTTAAAAATTCTCAATAGATATTAAAATTTACCATAAGGCCATTTTAATAAAAAAAATTGGCATTAACAGAATAGTGAGCAGATAGTTCAGTGGAAGGGATTAGAGGATACAGGAATAGCTCCAAATCTACAGAAGAAATTAATATATGACAAAGTTAGCAATTTTATTCTTTGAAGAAATAATGGTTTATTATAATAGTTGATTTAATGGAAGGTGTTGATGTAACTGACTATTCCTCTGAAAGTAAAAAAAGCCAGAGCTCTGCCTCAGCACAAATAAGGTCCAGATGCATTCAAAAACATTTGTATGACCTTGGAATCAGGGGACACCTTCTTCAACAAGGCTCAGAATATACAGAAAAACACAGATAACTAATTGCCTGATAGTTAAAATATTTTTTATGGCAAGACACAGTAAGTGGAGCTTAAAATCTGTGACAAATATAGGATTTTATATATATATATATATATATATATATATATATAGGCATATAGATATATAGAAAAATAAGTGACAGGTACAGGATTATATGATTAAATATTCAAGTTGCCTTAAACGGTAGAACAGATGAAGGGCCATCTTCTGAGGTAGACAGGAACCATTGAAGGGTTTTAAACCCAGGAATAATGTAATTAGGTGTGTATTTTAGGAAAAAAGGAATTATTCTATTTGAACAATAGCTACCAATTAGAGAGTCATAAGACCTGAGTCAGGGAATAGTTTGAAAACGAGAAATGATAAACTAAACTAGTGTGGAAAAGTGGGAGGTAGAGAAAATGGAAAGGATTCAAGAGTTAACTTATGAAATAGAATTGAGAAGCTAGACACCTATCAAACATAGGGTGTAGAGGAGGCAGAGGGAAAGGTCAACTGTAATATCCAGTTACCTTGCCTGGGCACTTGGGCATAAATAACAATTTTTGTTGATCCTGGATGAGAGTACTTTGTGTGGTAAAGGGGAGAAGATAGTGAGTTTTGAATAGACTGAATTTTGAGGTTTACAGGATGTCCAAAGAAGTGTCCAGTAGGCCTGGAGTACAGGAGAGGCCAAATATGTATAAAGATAAGGAGGTCATTAGCATATTCAGTACAAATAGATGATGTCACCCGGGGACAGTATGTGGAATGAGAAGGGAAGAGGGTTATTTAAGAATCTCAAGGGTGCATGTAGTACAAGGGGCCAAAATATAGAAAAATAAGTGTTTCCAAACTCTAGGTAGGGTGAAGAACTGGAGAGTTTGATTAGTCCCAAGCTGTTCTGCCATTCCTATTTCCTTCCTATCCTTGACAATCTTCCTGCTATGTCAGTTCTTTCATTGTCAGAAAGCACCCCGGAAAGCACCCCTCTCCTTTTCCACTCCTGCAATTACACTTGCATATCAATTAGTGTTGTACTGGGCCCAGAACACTCCTTCCAGGGTTACTCTTCTTTAGAATATCTTCATCTGCTTGACCTTCCCTGCCAGGCTCTCCCATAAAGGAAATGGGGGTGTGGTGGGGGTGTCTCTTTCAAATACAGAAGGGCCAGGTTGCTCTCTCCTTCTAGGACATTGGACATGGCTACTCACTGAACATTTATGTAACTAACAGGGGCTATGATATGTTTCTTGAAGAAAGGAGAAATTTTTCCAAGCCAGCTTACCACTTGCCAGTTGCACTTTTTCTACTAAAACCTAACCAAGCCAGTTCTACTTATCTGAGTACTCAAAACATTTGAATACTGGTGGAGAGGAGCAGGGAAAGGAAGCAGTTATTTTCTGACAGTGAGGAGGTAGACACTAGTTGTGAGTTCTAGAGATTTGAGGAGAAATAAAGGGCTTAGGTACTCCCTGATGAAGACAGCAGAGAGTACCAGCTTAGTGGAAATAGGATTCCAGACCATGTTTGAGTTCACATACTGCCTCTCTTAGCCTTGGACAGATTTTAGTACAGAGGGGTGTTGGGAATGACCCTGTGCACTTTCTACTTGCCATCCAAGACCCTGCCTGCTTCTTCCCTCACTTGCGGAATCCCTGAAATTCAAGTGATGTTATTAGGGAAGACCCTAAATGTGGTTTGAACATTAAAAAAAGAATCAATTAATGTCAGTGGATTATTACTTGAACTGGGTTAGTCCAAAGTTGATATGTTCAGTGTTGCCATTCTAGAAGCTCCTTTTGACCTGGCCTGCAGTTCCAGAATCCTGGCTTGCTCCTGAGACCCAGATTTCAGGTGTTTATTAGCTGTTAACAATAATAGATCTTCTCTTAGAGCTTATAAAGGGCAATTAGTCAAACAGCTCTGCTTCTTTTCATTGCTCTGTTTTAAAAAAATTGGTTATATTTTCACGTGGCTCAATCTTTTTTCTTTAAACAGCAATGTTTTTTTTTTTCTTCTAAAAAAGTCACCAGAATTCCAAATAAAGGGCCACTTCTGAGGTTCATCATCTTAAATGTTTCATTGTTTTAAAGTTTTGGGGCATTAAACATCTGGTATTCTTTTGACTTCTGTCCATCACTTGGTATGCTGAATACAATTATTCCTTTATATTACTCATCATTGGGAAAAACCCCTTATCATTTACTATTTTCTACAAGCATATAGAAATAAGGGAAAAGGTTATGCAGTTTCTTTCTAGGCTCAGGTTATAACTATATCAGAAAGCAAAATTAAGTAGAGTGGAGAGCAAAATTTACTAGCTCCTTTTCTAGTAACAAAACTTGCCCCCTCTCATATTTCCTTTAAATGAGATTGGACCAATGTGCCAAGCATTCAAGGTACTGTAAGATATAACCCCATCTAGCTTTTTAAAATTTATTTCACCATTTTCCTTCCCACAGTCTGTTCCACAGTCACCGTTAGTTTTTCACATTGTCCTGGTTCTGCAGAGATATTTAAACTTCTTAACAATAGGTAGGTCCCATCAGGTCTAGACAACCCCTCATTATTTTTTGACAGCTTTATATACCCCTCCCTGCATAAGAAGTAACAGTTGTTACTTAAGTACTAACTTACTCTACACCTAGCAAGTTCATGCAAACTTATTTATACTTTTTTTAGTTACCCCACAGGCTCACGATTAATGTGTCCTCTTTCTCAGACTCATGAGCACAGCAGGATATATACAAACCAGATTACTGGCAGGGAAGCTTTCTTGGAGTTGATACTAGAGCCCAGGCTTAATGACAAGGTAGGAAAGCATGAAGTCCCGAAATGTGGTGTCAGACATATATTTGGCTCCACATTTAGTAAGATTAAAACAAAAGGAGGTAATTGAGGTAGGGCCAGAGTAGGAGAAGGCCAGAGAATAACCACTGGAACTAGGAAATGCAGATGAGAATGAGAGGGTAGGACTTTCCCTCTTTGATCACAGTGTAAACTTCCCCTAGTATCCTTGGAGAATCTGCCCAAACCAACTTATCTCTAGCCCAGTAGTCCTCTACCAGATGTCTTAGAAATCATTGATTTACATAAATGCCCTTAAGATACCACAAGGTCAATCTTTGTGCCATTTCTAACAAAGAGCAATTCAAAATAAGAGGTGATGCTTATATGTTTTCAAAAATGTGTCAACATGGCATTTTTTTAAATAGTTAGTGTACCAAAGGGCATGTGACCATCTGACCCAGAGAGATGGGGAATTCATTATTGATGAGATCCTGTTATTAGTTCATTTAAAATAGTGCACATTGAATTCTAGGGAAATAGAATCTGGAGGTAAACTTCCAGTTTCCTTAACAAAAACAGGGAGGTTCTTAGACCCCCAAACTTATAGGACTTCAAATTTTTGAAAGATGATGCATCACACTGAAATCAGACCAAAAGCATCCAACAGAGATAACTAATACTTACTTTTAATTAGATTCTACGTTCATGGAAGGAATATGATATGGCAGCAATGGTTATAAATTATGGAAAAAAGATGTTGGACATCACAACAGAGTGCAGGTCACTATTTGGTAAGAATGATCCAGAAGAAATACCAGATGAGGTAATTGGTTTTTGGTTTTCATTTTTACACATGTATTTAATGGGGTCTTTGGAGGTCTCTTTTAGTATCATTAAACATATTAGAAAATTATCTATTTTTGATTTGTCATATTCACATAGAAGAAAAGTAATATAGGTAGGAGTTTCTTTTTCTGTTTGTTGTTTCTTTGTTTTTGAGTTGTGGTCAAGAAAATAAAGGGAGCATCTATGTTAGTGTGCTGAGTGGTCACTATTACAATACTGGCCATCAGTTAGGTGATGACTGAACTTCCTACACCCAGCTGGACATTAGACTAAAAGCCCTTTTGAATCTAAGATTACATTCTGGGTGGGTCACTGAATATAGTGAATATACATCTGAGCTTTTTAGCTTGTGTTCAAAGTAGATTTCTGAAACTCATTGCAATATCTGAATTCTCTTCTATATGAGACTGCTAATTTTTGAGACTAATTTTTAATATGTGCTTCCTAAGCATGGTTCTTGTAAGAGCTTATGCTTTTTTGCCTTTATTTGAAATATGTGTGTTAAATGTTTTTATAGATCAAGTTTTGAAATGTTACTTGATTTTTTGGGTTGCTGAGGCACGCTAGGAATTACTTGAAGCCCCTTGTTACTTGTTTCGAGATACTTGCCTCCAGCCCTGTTTGAGATTATGCCCATTTCTATCTCCATTATATTTTGAGATAAAAACAAGAAAATGTTATCTGATTACTTGATTACGTTTTAAGTCAGTATTTGTTAGCCAAAAAAGCTCCACAAAGCACCACTCCATTACTGGGAGACTTTTAAAATTCTAATGCACCACTCTTGTGGTGGTGTTGGTGCTAGTAGTGATGGCATTGTTTGATCTAGAGAGAGTTTTGTAAGCTGTTGGCAATTGGAGTCTTTCACCCAGTGTTTACTGAGAGTCCATTCAGCTAGCCCCTTTAAATTGTCCAGGCTTTAACTCAAGACTCTCATTTTATATTACTGTGGTGCAGGACCTTGCACCAATCTCTTGATCCAGTGGAAGGTTGTGATGTTTCCCTCTGAGTAGGGTTGTTGGGACAGTTGTAAGGAGTCTGAAATCATTAGAGCCATTCAAGTTCCCTTTAAACCTAAAAAGGCTTGGAAGATGTTTGGGAATAGGAGAGAGAGAGACAGGTCAGTTCATAGGCTGAGACAGAGAAAACATGATGGGGAGTTGAGTATAGACAGGCCAGTTCTTAATCCACTAATTACAGATCCCATTATACTTCAGTGAAAGGCAGAGTATCAAAGGCAATTAGGTTAGTTGTAAAGAAGCTCCATCTGAGAAAAAACGAATAAAGGGATACATTCCTGAGGATGGCCTAGGATGGGAAATACAGTAGAATGAATCAGATATAACTTTCCTATGTTCATATATGAATACACGGCCTAGGGATTTTCTTTTGAAAAGACTTTTAGAGACATATCTTCATCTGCTTTAAGAAAAGAGCTTTGACTACTTTCTATGAAACTCTTGGTACAGTGTCTGGCTTTTAGTTAGAACATAATATCTGTTATTATTAATTACTAATTGGTATTGTTTAATCATGTATACCTTAGTTTTGCCTACCAAATATGAAGAAATAATTTGAAGAAAGTTATTTGAGAATGACAGTTTTTATAGCATTCTGACATTTAATCAATATTTCTAGGGTTCGTCTAAGAAATCTGTAAAAACTAAGAAGCCACAACAGATATTGTTGCCTGAAAAATTAAATGAACAATTGACCTTGTTGGAGACACACCTACTCAAACTGATAAAACAATGTAAAATTCTCTTTTGTATATGTCTATGCAGCAATTTTCTTAAACTGGGAAAATATTTTGTTAAAGGGCTTAAAATGAGATTAGTGTCAGGTAAACCCAATAAGGTTTACACAGTGCCTTTACATTATGTCGTTAATCCTAACAATGCCTTATTAATATGGGATTGCTAACTGCCTTTTACAGATGTGGCTAATGAATATTAAGTGATTTATTCAGAGTTCTGTAGCTGGCTTGGACTTGAGCCCATGTCTTCTGACTCCATAACAGGTTTTCTAAACCTTGACACTATTGCCATTTTGGGCCCGTTGGTTCTTTGTAGTGGGGGAGTGTCCTAGGCATTGTAGAATGTTGGTCAGTATCCTCGGCCTCTACTCATAGAAGCATAACACACCAAACCGCTGGTTGTGACAACCAACCAAGAGGCAAATGTCAAAAGCATTGGCGGTGGGGTGGGGGTAGGATGGCACAAAATTGAGAATTACTGAAAGCAAAGATGCAATTGAGAAAGGATGGGGTAGTGTGAGGAATGGTAAGTGGCTTGAACCTTGGCCTACTAGAGCAGAAAGAGAGAGAGAGATTAATTTTGGGTCTTTGTACTGTAGTAATTTCAAAATAGATTAATGTGTTAATGTAACAATTAGTATTTAGGAGTTTGGAAATCTGCCTGGGAAACTGATTTAGTTTCCGATGTTGGTTAGTATATATAATATAGTATATATATAATATTCTAAAGGAACAAGAGAGTACCCATATTTCTCCCACGTGTGAGGCTCCTTGTTTGGACCCAAGGTCTTCTGGGAATGGACTATATCTGTAGAACTGCATGTCCCTCCCTCAACTATCTTACTGGGTGCCTTAGTTGTACTTTGGTGGTCATACTGTTTCTGAATTACCTGAATTGTTTCCCTCTCTCTTTCCATATACTCCATGCCTGTTTCAAGCTGAATTTATAAATTGAACCCAGTGGCTTATTATTTCCATAATTAGTAAACAAAGTTTTGGAAAAACTAATTATCTCGTTGTACCTAAAAAATATAATTCCTTAAATTAGAAAATGTTTTAGAAACATGAACTAATTTTCAGATACCAACAGAAACATTTTAATGAGAAACACAATGTGAGATTACTAAGTAAACAGTTCAATAACAACACCAATGATAAAAATAAGTTTTGTATACAGTTTGCTGTGTACTAGCCACTATTTTAAGTATTTTTATTCACTTTTAAACTCAGCCTATCCCATATATAACAATCATTTAAGGAAAGTATTGTTATTAGCCACATTTTAAAGATAAAGAAACTTAAGTAAAGAGAAACTAAGTTACCTCCCAAGGTCTCACAATTCAAGAGTGTCAGGGTTAGAGTTTGAACCCAGTCTGGCTCTAGTACCTATGTGGTACTTTACTGTCAATTAAAGATAATTTTATTACAATGGAATTAATATAATTGTTAGATTTTGGTGGTGAAACTTTTTGGAAAAAAATAATGAAATAATTAAAATCATTGGATTCTTTTCAAAATTTAATGCTATAATTGATATTTAAGACAGAATTTAGAAGGAATATTTGAGTATTTCCTATTTTTCCATCCCCTCCAAAGAATTTTTTATTTTTGGTTGTTCATGTTAAACAGAACTACAACTTATTAATTTTCTTAAACCTTAGATGTTGCGGCTGAACTCTCAGGAGGAGAAGACCCTATATTTCTTTACCCTGTGGTTTTAAATTGGTCAGTGAAAGGTGCTGTGAAAGAAGGTAGGTGACCTGATGTTTGTGTGCTGCTCACTTGACTTCCCACTGAAAGTTGTTATTCTGTAGATTTTGTGTCTGTTGTTTATATAAAGACTTCATCTGTTCTAGGCAGACTTTTTGGGGTTCTTATCTGTTCATGAATAATGAAGTATCTTGATTGCCAAGTAATAAAGAGACTTAAATGGGTACCTTATTTAAAGATTAGAAAGATTACCTTCATGATGGCTTATTTTGGTAGTGAACAGTTATTATGAAACTTACAAAAATGAGGGCATTGAAGAAAATGCACCAGTGATTTTTTTTAAGTTCATCTATGAAGAGAGCAACATTATTGCTTAAATTTGGGGTAAAATATAGTAAAAATTACCGACAACTGGTTTTGACAATTATCAGTATTTTTTTTTCTACAGTTAGTGATACATTAGAAATGACTTTAATGAAATCTTTCTCAGCACTGAGATTTTTGGAAAATAAACTAAACATAGACTGTAAAGGATTAGTTGATCTTAGAAAAAACAATAGCTCACATCACATTAATCTAGTATTAAAATGTAAACTTTCAATGATAATAACTAAGTGTATTGGTAACTATATGCAAACTTCTTGTTTTCATAGTTATGAAATTTAAGCACAGACCTAGATTCCTGGAATTTTTTACTCAAGTTATGCTTAAATGCCTGAATGATGAAAAATTTTCCCTTTTGTTGGAGATAACAATTCCTGTCCTTGACTTCTTGAAAAGGTATTTGTAATATCAGTTTTATGCATGGAAACAACTTCCAAAAACATGAGCAGCATTGTCCCTTTCAAATACATGGGGTAGATGAAAAAGGGTAGTGTATGTAGTTACCACATCGGAGAGAGTGAAGATTTGTGTGTGTGCATTTAAATAATGACTAAATGTAAAAATATTTATACAACTTCACTAAGAAATGAGACTAGACCATGTTCAGATTTCAGGCAGGAAATAGATTGTCTTTTGCTATTTGGTTAGGAGGGATAATAGCATCTGTCTATCAGCTCCCTTTCACATAAGGGTTAGAGTCCAGTTTTGGTTGTTTATCATGTGCTTCTAATGCCTCTATCATAATGAGCAGAGCCATTCTTTGGGGCTTCCATTTGTGTATGTGAATGAGAAGCTCCTCAATAGATAGCTTTAGGCTGTCCTTCTCATTCTCTATTCTCTAAGGCTGAATGATTGTCTTTGTTCCCAAAGAAAATGATCATGTCTCATGCCATTTACGAGAGATGTCAAATAAATCCAATATGTCTTCTTCACAAGTGGGCTTCTCTTTCACAACTGGGAATAGATCTGTTCACCCCATTTCAATTAATATAAACATCAGTGGGGATATAGCTCAAAGGTAGAGCTCCTTCCTAGCATGTGCAAGCCCTGGGTTCTATGCCCAGTAAGCCAAAAAAAAAAAAAAAACCACACACACACAAAAAAGTAAATATCAATAACATGAAATCTGTTTTGAAAATGGCAGCAAAAGAGAGGAGAATCGTTT